ACCGGGCCGGCCCCATTTTGCTCTTTATTTTTATTTTATTTTTTTTGGTCTTTTTGTCTTTTTCCGTGTCCGGCAACGGATCGCAACCCTCAGTGTTGCCCCCGTACCGGACCGGGGACCGGCAACAGGATTGCAACCCTCGGTGCTGCCCCCGCGCCTCGCTCAGCCAGTGAGCGGGAACCGGTCTGTATGTGGGATCCGAACCCTTGGGCGGGTGCGCTGCCGCGCTTCCCAAGCGGCGCACTTATCCAGTGCGCCACCGGGCCGGCCCCATTTTGCTCTTTATTTTTATTTTATTTTTTTTGGTCTTTTTGTCTTTTTCCGTGTCCGGCAACGGATCGCAACCCTCAGTGTTGCCCCCGTACCGGACCGGGGACCGGCAACAGGATTGCAACCCTCGGTGCTGCCCCCGCGCCTCGCTCAGCCAGTGAGCGGGAACCGGTCTGTATGTGGGATCCGAACCCTTGGGCGGGAGCGCTGCCGCGCTTCCCAAGCGGCGCACTTATCCAGTGCGCCACCGGGCCGGCCCCATTTTGCTCTTTATTTTTATTTTATTTTTTTAAAGATGAACGGTAAGGGGATCTTAACCCTTGACTTGGTGTTGTCAGCACCCCGCTCAGCCAGTGAGCGAACCGGCCATCCCTATGTGGGATCCGAACCCGGGGCCTTGGTGCTATCAGCACCGCACTCTCCCGAGTGAGCCACGGGCCGGCCCCTTTCTTTGCTCTTTAAATTAGAGGGGTGGTCTCTAATTGCCCGGTACCCGGCCTTGTGATGATTAGGGCAGAGGAATATTGCCTCCTGTGGTGTACAGGCCAGGGGGAAGAAGGAATGGCTCTGGACTGGTTAATTTGCATATCAAAGGCATGCTCGCTCCCAGCTGGGCTCTTTGCTATCTTTAAGAATTGGCTAGCACCAAATAGGGGCAGTCTTTCCCTAGATTTAAAAAGATTTTTTTTTTAAGATGTGAAAGCATCATAATATACAAAAGATAAAAAATATATACAATGCATCAAGTAATAAAACCTTCCCTTCCCCAGGACAAAAGTTTGCCTTTATATTTGCATACTAAAAGAAGCCATTTAAGTGATTTTGCAGGATACAGAATAATCTGCTCCTAGCTGACTTTATCTTTACTTATTCAGAGAAGCAGCTTCTGTGGTTTAAAAAAAGTAAAAGAAAGAAAAAAAGCTCTTATTTTCCATTACCCTGCATTGTGAACAATTCCTGCTTGTCAGGTTGGTTTCCTCTTTGTTTCCAAATACCAGTTTCTGTACCTTTGCACATGCTGTCTCCCAGCTTAACCTTTCCTCTCCTATTTTTGGAATCCTACTTTTTTCTGAAGAGTCAATCTAAGACCACACTAGTAACTAATTAATTATATAATCATTTGCTCTCTTAGTTCATAAATGTTAGTGTTTTCTGTTAATTCTAGGGTACATATTTTTTGAGAGCAGGAAACATACTTGTATATTCTTCAGCATTTAGCATTCAATAACGATTAGTGAGTGAATGGCTTAACAGATAAGCAAATACTTTTTTTTTTTTTTCCCTTTTTTTTGGTCTTTTTTCGTGACCGGCAATGGGATCGCAACCCTCGGTGTCACGCCCGCACCATGCTCAACCAGTGAGCGGACCGGTCTCTATATGGGATCCGAACCCTCGGCCGCTGCGCTCCCAAGCGCCGCACTCTACTGAGTGCGCCACCGGGCCGGCCCAGCAAATACTTTTTGTTATAAGTCTGTGCTGTAACCAACTGAGTTAACTGGCCAGCCCCCTGCAAATACTTTTTGTAACAAATGGTACGTTCAATACCTGAATTTTTGTATAAGTTAATGCAACATAAAAGATTACATCTTTCTAAAGTCTATAAAGATTGTCATTGTGTATACCATTAGTATTGTAATTTAAAAATATTTTCAACATACATACATTTTTGAAAACTAGATTTTATTTTTGTTTAACAATCAGAAAAAAACAATATTCTTTTGTACATTTCTAAAATTACTATTCAGAAAATTACATTTAAATTAACTTTAATATTTTAAAAAAGATTTTGAATTCTTTACCCAAAACCTAAAATATAAAAACCATGCTACCTTTATCATCCCAAATTGTACATTTTCTAATTACCTCCTTCTTTAACTTGCCAAGAAAATATGTATGTATCAGAAATACATTTTTTAAAAGTAATTTCAACTTGTCAAAAAGTCAAACAATTTAAAATTTGGCTTAATTTAATGTTTCTTTCCTGTTGCTATAAAGTTGAATATACAGTTTAATTCTGTAAATAACAAGCTTTTTTATATGTTCTATAAACATTCCTCCTTTAAACATCTCCCTCCTTTGGAACATCATCCAGCTCTGTAAATCAGTGGTACTGTTCCCTAGAAAAATGTTCAAGGGGAACTCTATATGACAATGGGACATTTCTGAGCTCTTAGACTTTCTGTCTGTTTAGTGCTTCACTTTGAAAACTGAAAGTGAGGGGAATCAGTTACCATTTCCCCAACTAGTTTTCTACAGTTGTGTGTATATATCTATTCAATAGGTATGTATATATCTATACATATAATTCAGGAACTTTTTGAAGTAACCTCACATATTCCTGAATTGACATACAATATATAGTTATCATAAGTCAGGGACTTTTAAGATAAATATAAGATTTAAATCTTTTTTGCTGACTTTCCTTAAATAACGTGAAAAAAACCCGAACTCTTATTTCTAGATCTGAAATTTGAAACCGCTTCTCCATTTCTTCAGCTCCTAATGAGCACTAAGAAGCAATTTGCATCAATTCACCACCTACTCCTTGGCATCCCCAATTCCTCCAGCAGTTATTGCGAAGGTGGCTTCATTTTCGGGCATCTCAGGGCTAACAGAATACAAGGGAACAGAAGTTTATAAAAAGCTCTATTTCTATAAATACTATATTCATGTCACAGGCATTATGCTCCCATCAGTCTGACTCTCCAGAGACATCTCAGAGTTGGTACAGCTAAATGTGGACTACAGAATTTACCTACAAGTGTTATTAATACTCACAAACATTTATTGAACAACTTCTATATGTAAGGTTCTGAATGTCAAGAAAAATTGTCCCAAACTTGGAAACAGGCAAAAGGGATAAGTGGGTGTTCTTTTAGTGTAGTGCCAGACACCATGCAACAGACCCTACCGCGCTCAGCCAATGAGCGCACCGGCCATCCCTATATAGGATCCGAACCCGCAGCGGGAGTGCTGCTGCGCTCCCAGTGCCGCACTCTCCCAAGTGCGCCACGGGCTCGGCCCAAAATTGTAAAGATTTTGAAATGAGCTAAAAGATTGCTGAGTACCTTCAATGGAAAAATAGTTTATCAGGGCTGGCCTGTGGCTCACTTGGGAGAGTGTGGTGCTGATAATACCAAGGCCACGGGTTCAGATCCCTATATAGGGATGGCTGGTTAGCTCACTTGGGAGAGCGTGGTACTGACAACACCAAGTCAAGGGTTAAGATGCCCTTACTGGTCATCTTTAAAAAAAAAAAAAGAAAGAAAGAAAAATAGGTTATCTAGCACATCCTTCTAGGTTATCCAATTCTATAAGGGGTGTATGCCTTCCACTGTCTTTGATCTATTTTACAAGTCTGTAAGTTGTAGAAAAGTATGAGTAATGCAAATTTTTCTTGTCCACAGAAATGTAAATTGTGTGGGGTGGAATGCAATTGATTATTCCTATGAATATTGACTCATCTTTGATGAATTTATAATTCATTTCAGCATTCCTTATTTGACTGCTTATGTATGGTACTGTTATTTTTCTTTTGATCTGGTTATAAAATCTTATTAATGCCCTCATTAATTAATGAGTTAAATAAAATTTTTGACATTTTGTATTTGTACATGAGTCATAATTATATACTCTTAAATTTTTATCTTTTAATTTATTCTGCAACTCTGTAGGAGTAGAGGTTAATTTGTGGAAAACTGAGAGCAGTGCAGATGATTCTTGTCTGACGGCAATGCAAATGATTCCAGACTATAGCAATGGAAATGAATTTCATTTTGTAGAGAAGCTATTGATTTCCCTCCAGTAGAAAAGATAACTTCAAACGTTACAATTTATTGCCTGGTAGGATACTAACCAGTTTTGCATATAGCAAATTTATTTCAGCACTTCTTTGACTGATTGGCTACATAAATCTCTGTTCCTCAAATTACTCTTTAAATCAGTGGTTTCCTTATTAATTAAGGAGTTGAATAAAATGTTTGATATATGTTCACTTTATATGTATTTGCAAGCAAGTCAAGTTTTTACCTTTTTGAAAATCATACGTTAGCATATACCAGATCCTATAAGATTACACAAAATAAGACAAAGTCCTTACTCTCAAGAAGTCTAACATGTGAGCTATGACATACAACAAATACGCAAATACTAATGCTATAATTCAAGGTAAACTTATGTTTCATAAAGTCACTATAAATGTTATAGAACTTTAAAGAAAGGAGACATTATGCCTGGCTAGGTTGATTAGGAAAGGCTTCAGAGATAATAGTTGAAGAAGCCTTTGAAGAGGCAGAAATGGAAGTATTCCAGGTAGAGGTAATAGCATGAACAAAAACCAGGAGTAGAAAAGCTTGTTTTGTGTACAAGAAGGAGGGGAAGAATAAGAAGTTAGGTGTAGATATGTTGAAATTGAGGAACCTGTAGGACATTCATATACAGTCTACAAGCAGTTGGAAATGAATATCTAAAATGTGAGTAAAAGGTTAGATTACAAATAGAAATTTGAAGATCACTGACCATGAAAGAACCTACTATTACTTTGAGCTAACCGTTTTTATATCCTGGTTATGGTGAATGCATGCTGCCATTTATTAAGTATTTACTAATTACTATGTGCCAGATTCCCTCATATTATCTCATTTAAACTTTTTGATAACCCTGTCAGGTATGTATTATTATCCACATTTTGCAGATGAGAAGACTGAGTTTTAGAGAGAACCCAAGATCACATAGCTGAAGATCACACTGCTAGCAAGTAAAGATGTCGGATTAGAGACCAAGGCATTTGACTCCACAGCTCATGTTCTTAACCATATTGCCTCTCATAGTTGGTTTTGTCTTTTTTTTTTTTGGTGGCTGGCTGGTATGGGGAACCGAACCCTTGATCTTGGTGTTAGAAGGCTGTGCACTAACCAGCTGAGCTAACCGGCCAGCCCTGGTTTTGTCTTTTGATTTTGTTTATTTGGTTGTTGTCTGATGGGTGATTAGGCAGTACACTTTGAGCACATTACGGGTAAGGTTATTTCCCTTAGGAAATAGCAGAGGGGTCTTCTCTAAGGATAGCAAATGGGTTATAGATAAGGTGGATCTTGCTGGGTTAAAACTGGAGTTGAATAAGAAGGCCTAAGTGGCTTGTAACCTTTTGGCTTTGGTGGAAACTATTCAGTCAACTACTTACAAATGGCAAGAAGTAAAATGAAAGCGCTTTCTGGAGAGAGACAAGAAGTTGTAAAAGAGAGAAGCCAAGCAAGGTTAACTTTAAAGTTGAACCAAGGTTTTTGTTTGTTTTTAATGTTTTGGTTCTGAAAACATAACCAGAAGCAATTACATCATAAACTTGACCATTTGCATGCCTTTTCATTTTCTGGTAATTAAAATTTGTTCCTCCTTTGAATTCAGTAGCATCTTTGTTTTTATTTTTTAATTTTTTTTTTAAAAGATGACCGGTAAGGGGATCTTAACCCTTGGCTTGGTGTTGTCAGCACCACGCTCACCCAGTGAGCAAACCGGCCATCCCTATATAGGGATCCGAACCTGTGGCCTTGGTATTATCAGCACCGCACTCTCCTGAGCGAGCCATGGGCTGGCCCTAGCATCTTTGTTTTTAATATACATTGATCTCAGATATGCTAAGTGGATTAAAATAAATGTTTTTGTTTTTTTTTATTAAGTCACCTAAAAGTTTGAAAGAGAAAAATGTACATTTGAGTGCCAGGAGAGATGGAGCAGTAACTATAACTATAGTTACTAACTATACTATATAGTATATAGTATATACTATATAGTAACTATAGTGACATTCAAGGAAAAGGCTGGTTTCTGTTTTGTAGTCATTCCTGCACAGCTGGAAATTCTTCCGAGAACTCCTTTCTGCTCAACTATTGGAGAATTCTGTGTTTTCTTTTTAACAAGAAATGTATGTCTTTTAAATCTGTTTAAAGGTAGTAGTTGAAGCCATGAGAGTAGCTATAGTAGACTAGCTATGACTACCCTAAATAGATCATTCTCAATAAACTCAGAAATAGAGTAACATGTATAAAAGTGTAGGCTTTAGATTCAGACAGCAGATTCTAATCCTGGATTGATCCTTTATTGGTTGTGTGATGTGGGAGAAGTCCATTCATTAACTTATTAGCAAAATATTTACGGAGTTCTTACTATATCTGTTGTAGGCACTTGAAATCTTTTTATTTATTTATTTATTTGGTGGCTGGCCAGTACAGAGATCTAAACCCTTGACCTTTGTGTTATAACATTTGTTCTAACCAGCTGAGGTAACCAGCCAGTATGGCACTTAAAATCTGTAAGTGAAAAAATAGACAAAAATTCTTGTCCTTGTGGAATTTGTACTTGGGAGGGGAGAGACAGACAATAAATATATTATGTGATACGTGAGAAAATAATAAATGCTATGGGAAAATTAAAAATAGAGGTGGGGGGCTGGCCTAGTGGCACACTGGACAGTGCGCCACTTGGGAGCGTGGCGGCGCTCCCTTCGAGGGTTCAGATCCCATGTGGAGACCAGTTCCCACTCACTGGCTGAGAGTGGTGCAGGCGCAACACCGAGGGTTGCGATCCCGTTGCCGGTCCCGGGTACGGGCGCGACACCGAGGGTTGCGATCCTGTTACCGGTCAGTAAAAAGGACAAAAAGGAAAAAAAAATAGAGGTGGGTAAGGGATATTTGAAGTGTGGATACTGGGAGAAGGCTAGTTGCAATTTTAAATAGGGAGGTCAAGACAGGCATTGTCAAAGACTTGAAGTGAGGGAGATAACCAGACAGAGGGCTATGTGGGGGAAGTTTATTCCAGACAGAGGGAATAGCAAGAGCCAAGGCCCTAGGGTAGGAGCCTGCCTGGTATGTTGATCAAACATCAAGGAGTCAGCCCATTGAGGTTGAAGCACAGTAAGCAAAGGTGAGAACAGGAGGAACAGGAATAGGGCCATTCATGGAATGCTGTGTAAACCACTGTAAGGACTTGGGCTTTTATTCTGACTTAAGATGGGGAGCCACTGGAGGGTTTTAAGCAGAAAACAGAAATGATCTGACAGTTTTATAAAAGATCACTCTGGCTTCTGTGTTTAAAATAGACTGTAGAGGGGCAATGTTTGCCTAACTGCATGGGGCCTTGTGTGTAAAATGGGGAATAATAAACTTTACCTTTTAGGGTTAGTATTATAAATAATATATATATGTATGCAAATATATATGTATTATTTATATATATATATATAAAGCAGTTGGAGCAAGGTCTAGCACATAACAGCCACTCAATAAGTGTTATCTATCAATATTAGTATCATCATTTTCTCTACCAAAAAGTTTTCTCTAAAGTGAAGCATTCTTTTAAAAAAATCTCTAGGGACCATAAAAAAATGAGTACATGCTGCATGACAACTAAATTTTGATATATTTTTTTTTTTTTTAAAAGATGACCGGTAAGGGGATCTTAACCCTTGACTTGGTGTTGTCAGCACCACGCTCAGCCAGTGAGCGAACCGGCCATCCCTATATGGGATCCGAACCCGCGGCCTTGGTGTTATCAGCACCGCACTCTCCCGAGTGAGCCACGGGCCGGCCCTAAATTTTGATATTTTAAGCTCTGATCCAGTTTTGTTTTTTTTATTCAAATTTATGGACATTTGACATAACTAACCTTTTTTTTTTTTTTTCCTTTTTTTTTTTTTTTTTTTTT